TATCATGACAGTCAGTTTTCAGCTTTCTCTACTGAGGTGCTCATCCAGATGAACCAGGGCACAATCGCAGTAGTTCTCCCGGTGCCACCTTAGCCGATAGAGCGGAATGTAAGGTAGCAAAACAAGGGAGCCGGGTAAACCCAACTATTGACCAAAGACATGATTCGGAGCTGATACATATAAGGCCAATCTCGCGATGCCGAACACTCCCGAAGGTATTCAGACTTTACAACATATACTGGCCTGAGTACCGCCCTCGATAATGATCCCTGAATTTTCGGGTACGTGCATAAATTCAGCGTGACGAAAGAGAGGCTGTGGTAACAGCATAAATCCCAAAAACACATTGGATGCTGCCCTTGTAACGTCCATTTTAGGTCGGCGAATAATAAGCTTGCCAATAACGCTGATATCCCTCTTGGTCGTTTTAAGTACCAGGAGGGCGTGAGCCAACAAGAGACAATAAAAAGGTTTACACATGGTCTTCTAAAAAGAAACCTTAGGACGGGGCCCTGTTGCACGTCTGCGCCTTTATCTCCGTTGTGTCGTATCCTGGAAGGGTATAGCACATTAGTCATCTGTAAAAAAGAAAGAAAAACTCAAGTGAAAGAATCTTTTGTGATCGTGCGTAACGTCGGTTAAACTTAATGAACCGTGAAAATTCTTGAGTGTAAATAGGATCCAGCCGAATTATGGATCTTTTTCGTGCGGGCAACCCCCAGCACCACATATGGGGGCATAGCCGTTAATCAAGCTCAGGTTTACCTGGGCTGCTACAAATAGTGGTGCGCCGGACACGTCTAGTCGTGTCCGTGGTCTCGACGACCGATTAGTTACTTGGGTTGGAGAAGCCGTTCAATGGTTCGGCTGCTAGAGCCGCCACATATTCCTCCGCACGCAGGGAACGCTCTGTATTTTCGCTAATTGTGATGACGCCACGTGGACCGAGCATCTTAAGTTTAAGATAAGTGTAATGTGGTACTGCATTGAAACGAGCGAAGGTCATTCTTCCGAGTAGTGCATGATAGCCACTTCGGAACAGGGCGATGTCGAAGATTAACTCTTCGCTTCGGAAGTTGTCAGGAGAACCGAATACAACCTCTAATGTTAGAGAGCCCGTGCAGCGGGTCTCTCCGCCTGGTATTACTCCTTTAAAGGTAGTATTGCTTTGGCTGATTCTTGACGGGTCTATCTCCATCTTGCGGACAGTATCCTGATATATCAGATTAAGACTATTGTCGCTGTCCATGAGGACTCGGGTGAGATGGTATCCGTCAATTATTGGGTCGAGCACCAAGGCAGCCGAACCTCCATGTCGTATACTAGTCGGGTGATCCCTGCGATCGAAAGTGATCGGGCAGGCCGACCATGGGTTGAATTTGGGGGCGATGGGCTCTACAGCGTACACATCTCGGAGTGCGCGCTTGCGCTTCCTCTTTGGTGTGTGAGTTGGTAAATCATGTTCACTGTTTTGACCTCTGGTGGAAATTTTTTCTGTCCCCCAGTGTTCGGCTGGCGAGGTTCATCTTCGTCTTCACTTGGCGGCTCCCTCCCCTTGTGTTCGGCATTTAGCTTGCCGACCTGCTTGAAGACCCAGCATTCTCTGTTGGTGTGATTTGCAGGTTTCTCGGGGGTGCCATGAATCTGACATGATCTGTCTAGAATTTTGTTTAAGCTGGACGGTCCACCTCTGCTGCCTTTAAATGGCTTTTTCCGTTGACCGGGTTGAGAGCCCCCGAATCCAGCGTTTACCGCAGTGTTGTCTGGGCCGTCTTCATTATTTTGATGTTTATTTTTATTGCGTCGCGGCTTCCCATTGTCGTCCCTGATTTCGGATGTGCTTGGGTCACTGGTGCCGCTGCGGGCCAACCAACTGTCCTCGCCCGCGCAAAAGCAGGTCATAAGGGTTGTTAGGGCTGCCATTGTCCTCGGCTTTTCCTGGCCGAAGTGTCTGGCGAGCCATTCATCCCGGACATTGTGTTTGAAAGCCGCTAAGGCTTCGGCATCTGGGCAGTCGATGATTTGGTTCTTCTTGGTGAGAAATCTGTTCCAAAGTTTACGGGCTGACTCTCCGGGTTGTTGAATAATGTGACTCAAATCGTCTGCATCCGGAGGTCGGACATATGTCCCTTGAAAATTAGCCCTGAAAGCGTCCTCGAGTTCCTCCCAACTTCCAATTGAATTTTCGGGGAGGCTTTTCAACCAATGTCGAGTTGGTCCTTTCAACTTGAGGGGCAGGTATTTGATGGCATGGAGATCATCTCCGCGAGCCATATGGATGTGAAGAATAAAGTCCTCAATCCAGACTGAAAGGTCTGTCGTTCCTTCATATGCCTCGATGTTTACGGGTTTAAATCCCTATGGAAATTCATGATCCAGCACCTCACCGGTGAAGCACAGGGGGTGCGCGGTGCCCCTGTATTTGGATGTGTCGTGGCGTGGGTCCGACGGCTGTAGTGTTCGGTGTTGATTCTGAGCTGGTAGTTGATTAGTATAGACAGTTTGGTGGTCGTGATCTTGCGTAGGAACACGATGGATCTATCCATACCAGCTCTTTTGTCCAGGTGCTCACGTAGATCGTGTGCTGACTTATGTGCGGCGTCATTAGCCGCTCTGTCTCGGCCACGGGGTGGTTGGTCCGGCAGATCGGCCGTATTGTTTTTTGGCAGGATGGGCTCTATAGCCTCGTCGTCGAATTCGGGCAGCAGCTTGCGCTTTGGGTAGCTCTTTGTGTGGCGATCACCACCGTATTTTTCGTCAGTGTCGAGCACTTTGTTCCATCTGTGGTTGAGCGTATCCTAGGCGGCCTTAAGCCTTTGCTTCTGCTTCTTCAAGCTGCACGCGGTGGCAATAAGCCTTTTGTGGAGGTTCTCTTGTTCCAAGTGCTTTTCCGGGATGATGCGTGCATCATCGTCCGGACTGTTCTCCTCTTCGGAGACATGTTTATAAGTTTTGTCTTCGGCATCGCTGTGATCGGACAGCGGCCCCGGACTGTGTTCGCTGTCCCCTGGCTCATCCTGCTCCATCGCTGGGTCTACGGGGTCGTCGTTATCTTTAGCGTCGTCCAGGGTATTATTCTTTCTTGTGCCGATATCGCTGTTTTTGCTATGGCGGGCTTTAGAGCGGCGCCGCTGACGTCGGCGCTTTGTTTGCTTCTCAAGGGGATTTTCCTCCATTGCCTTATCGCCATTGCTTTATTTGGGTGTGTCCACCATATATATATCATATGATGAGGTGGCTGTCTAGCGCCCTTGGGGCGGTGGTTCCCGTTTTTCTCCGGTATCATCGTCGTCCATACCGTTGATGTCTTCAGAATCGAAATCGAGCATGTCGGTTGAGTCGTCGACAGTGGCTATTAAGTGGGTGGTGGGTGGGTAACGAATTCCTTCGTCATCCGCTTTCCACTCAAGCCGGACATAGTTTGGCCGAGAGTCACCTGACAGGGAGAGAGATTTTAATGAGTTTAGCACGTCGCTCAAGGTCAAGTGCTGAAAGATATCCGCGGAGTTAAACTCCATGATCGGTGCCCAATCAGGTTCGATGGGCACGGATGCACGTGGTTCGGAGCCAATGGCCGGAGACGAGTCCGAGGGTCCGATAACGCAGACCTCGTTGGAGGCGAAGTATGTGTTCGGCTCTATCGCCGCTGAGTGTGCGGCCTCCGTGACGGGGTCTATCCACCCGTCCTCGGATGACACGATCTGCTCCGGATTTAGATTCGGGGCAGCTACAGGTGCGTTCTCCTGAACGCCGTCCGATGGCAGATCTAAGTCATACTCATCGTGATTGTACGGCGCACCTGTCATGGGCTCAAATCTGTCGAAGATCAAGTCTCCGCGGATGTCGGCAGTGTAGTTCAGGCTTCCAAACCTGACCTGATGGTCAGGGGCGTAGCTATCGATCTTCTCCAGATGGCCAAGCGAGTTGGCCCGCAGTGCGAAGCCGCCGAATACGAAGACCTGTCCGGGGAGAAAAACCTCACCCTGGATCGCATAGTTGTGGACGATTGAAGGAGCCATCAAGCCTTACCGTGATGACACAGTGAAACTCGCAATGAAAGCACCAATGTCGGTGTCAAAACCGGCAGATCTCGGGTAGGGGGTCCCGGACTATGCGTCTAAGGCTGATGGCAATAGGAGGCGGGGGACACAATGTTTACCCAGGTTCGGGCCCTCTCAATGAAGGTAATACCCTACTTCCTGCTTGATTGATCTTGATGATATGAGTATTACAAGAGTTGATCTACCACGAGATCGTAGAGGCTAAACCCTAGAAGCTAGCCTATAATTATGATTGTTGTTGTCCTACGGACTAAACCCTCCGGTTTATATAGACACCGGAGGGGGCTAGGGTTACACAAAGTCGGTTACAGAGAAGGAAATCTACATATCCGAATTGTCAAGCTTGCCTTTCACGCAAAGGAGAGTCCCACCCGGACACGGGACGAAGTCTTCACTCTTGTATCTTTGTAGTCCAACAGTCCGGCATAAGCATATAGTCCGGCTGTCCGAGGACCCCCTTCCTGGACTCCCTCAGAGGCTATGAACTATCTATGCACTATCTATGTATCGTTGGAGGAGATTATGAACTATCTATCCTTTATCTATGTACTATCGGAGCCAAAATGTGTATTGAATCGTAGTATAAAAAAAGAAGAAATATAGCGTGTCTCCTGGAACGGCTCGGGCGCGCTTATTTTGCCGCCGCGCGCAAAAGCTGGCTCACCCGGCGTTGTATACTGTTTTTTAGCGCGCCGTGCGTTGCGCGTCTGTTGGAGATGCTCTAATGTACTGTAAAATCTCTCTAATAATGTCACTCTGCACTAGTGTATGTAAGAAGTCAAGCAGGTGCACCGAAATTAAGCTGATCGACAATACCACTGCCAGTGCCAGCACATCCTCTGCGGCAGCAAGAGCTGCGGAATGAGGAGGTGTTGCACTATATATATGTCTGTTATGCCATAGGTCCGCCTTCAAGGAAAGCTAGAACTCGAAATAGCAATGGCCAATCACCTCAAGCGCCCCTTAGTCCAACAACTCTTCCTGCTCACTTTCGTTGCTGCAATCGTAGCAGTCTCCGCTGAGCCACAGCTGCCCTACAAGATACAGCAGCATTCTTCCTCGTATCCACAGCCACGCGACTTCCCAAGCGAACAGCTCTACCATGCATACTTCGCCATCCAGCGATTCAAGAACACCATCACGTCCGACCCCAAAAACGTAACCAGCACCTGGACAGGCCACGACATTTGCGCCACGACGAGCTACCTCGGCTTCCACTGCGGGGCGCCGCATGGACAAGCGAGTAACCTCACGGTGACATCAGTCATTTTCGATGGCTTTGGTCTATGCTCACCGATGCAGCAAGATCTTGTCGACGAGCTTCCCGATCTTGCAGTCTTCCAGGCTTCCTCCAACAACTTCGGTGGCGAAGTCCCCATCCTCACCGGACTTTCCTACCTGTACATGCTAGACGTCCACAACAAGCAGGGTGATCAATTTGAAGAAGCTAAAAGTGGAACAGCAGCAACACATTTAAGTCAACTGTGTGTCGGGAAGAACTTTTGCCCGGGCATACGCCTTCGCCCCATTTTGGACCCGAAGCACCCCGCCCATGGTGCCACGAGTGCCAAGGCACTCCTGCTCAACAACAACCAGCTATCGGCGCCGCTTCCTGCCAACCTTGGTTTCTCCAAGGTGAGCTACCTCGCCCTCGCCAACAACAAGCTCACCGGGCCAATCCCACCATCAGTCGCGCACATGCAAGACTCCCTCGTCGAGATGCTCCTCCTCAACAACCAGCTGTCTGACTGCCTTCCCCACGAGCTGGGCATGCTCACCAAGACCGCCGTCATCGATGCCGGGATGAACCAGCTCACCGGCCCGATCCCCTCATCCTTCTCGTGCCTCAGCAGCGTCGAGCAGCTTAACCTGGGCGGGAACCGCCTGTACGGGCAGGTCCCCGACGCGCTCTGCAAACTCGCCGGGCCGGCCGGCCGCCTCACCAACCTCACGCTGTCGGGCAACTACTTCACGTCGGTCGGGCCGGCGTGCTCGGCACTCATCAAGGACGGCGTGCTGGACGTGAAGCACAACTGCATCCCCGGCTTCGCCAACCAGAGGGGCCCGGCGGAGTGCGCCTCGTTCCTGAGCCAGCCCAAGACGTGCCCGGCGGCGAGCGCTCGCGTGGCGTGCCCCGCCGCGGACGCCAAGATGAACGTGGCGGCGCCGGAGGGGAGGGTGGCCAAGGACTACTCCAGCTACGTGGTGTACGCCACTCTGCATGAGTGAGGTGCCAGCGCATCCAGTGGGGACGCCGTGCCTAGCTACGTCGTCGGTATTTGCTCTTGTAATTTTCGTATGTGTTTGGTGTGCACGTGATTGCTGTTTGTTTTCTGTGTACGTGTGGCTGTCGGGTCTAGATCTCGGCTCTTGTGTGTGTTGTGCTGCTACGTCAGTTCTGTGACAGTAAATTAATTTGGATTGTACTTATCTTGCATGTTTCAATTATACTGCCTCCGTTTCAAATTACTCGTCGCTGAAATGGATGTATTTAGAACTAAAATACATCTAGATACATCCATACGTGCGACAAATAATTCGGAATGGAGGGAGTATATTTGTTGGGCTGCATATTTCAATTATAGATGTTGGAATTATGTGAATTGCTCCAATGTGCCATTGGTTACCAATACCATTGCTTGATCGGTGAAATACAAGGTAAATATGCCATGCGTCGTACTTACTCTGTATTGCAGAACTAGCGTCTAAATTTATAAATGGAAAATAGGGTTTAGTTAGGACTCAGCCGACTGACGTCAGCATCGTACGTGTAGGCCTGTCTCGATCGATTGATTTTCCTGTTCGTTCATGTGGGCTGTGTGTACGAGGCTTTTCTTAAGTGGGCTGCTTTCCCTTTGTTTTGTCCTCCCAAAAGCTTGTCTCGTGCTGGGCTGTCTTCTTTTCCGGTGCCTATTTTTCTTAAGTGTGCTGGGCTGGGGAACTCCTAGTCAGCGCCTTCAGCGCCGCGCAAGCTAACCGGCGCCTGCAGCTGCGGCTGGATGGGCCGGCCCACAATGGCGCGGCGAGAAAAAAGGCGCCCGAAAAAACTGCTATCAATCCGGACCGATCTCGCGCCCTGACACTTCCAAAGAGAGAGGCTAACCACTTGACCAGCCAAACTGTAGTGATTATTTAGAGCGTGAAGTTTAAAAGAATAGAAACGCACACGCACTAGTAATTTCGCATTATACTGTAGCATTTAGATTTTCCAATTATTTAAAAACATGTGCACATATTACAAATGAAGTTCATGCGCATGCAAAAATAGTTCGTGCACTCAAAAAATAATTCAACAAATAAGAAAAGTTCATGTATTCAAAATAAAGTTCACAGATTCAAAAGTGTTCATCGATTTTCAAAAATGTCCATCACACAATAAAATTAGTTCATCAATTTGAATAAACAAAGTTCATCGAATTTGAAAAAAGTTCATCGGATTTCAAAAAAGTTCATCTAAATTGAAAAAATTTAATGTATTCAAAAACAAGTTCACAGATTCAAAAGAGTTCATCGAACAATGAAAGTAGTTCATCAATTAGAATAAAAGAATTTCATCAATTTGAAAAAAGTTCATCGAATTTGGAGAAAGTTCATCAGTTCTGAAAAAAAGTTCATCAATGTTGAAAAAAAGTTCATCGATTTCAAGAAAAAATTTCAAACAAATGAAAAAGTTCATCAAATTTGAAAAATAAGTTCATCAATTTTGAAAAAGGTCAGTTCATGGATTTTGAAAACAAGTTCATCTATTTGAAGAAAACAATTACGAATTTGGAAAAAGAAAGAAGAAAAGAACAGAGAAAAAAAGAAAGAAAAAGGAAAAATAGAAGGTATAAATGGATGAAAAACGTTTTTATTACCACAGTTAGTGAGGTAGGCTGGTTGGTTACGCCACAATCAGTGATAACCAGCGATGCAGGGTTCGAATCCTAGCTAGCGCTGTGTTTTTGCAGTTTTCCGTAGAGTTGAGAGAGCGGAAGAGAAATTAAAGATGGGCCGGCCCACGAGATCCTGCTGCAGGCGCCGGTTAGCAAAAACAGTAGAAACCGGCGCCTGCAGCGCTAAATAGGAATTGCCGCTGGGCTGTCTAGTCTCCTGCTTGGTTGGTTACTTTTTTTTTGTATTTGGCCCAACAAATATATCAGTGTCTGTGTCAACGCTGCCAGGCGTGGAGTGCGTCCCCATGAAACATAACATAATGCATAAAAAAATAGTGTGTTTGTATTACTTGAGCACCTAATTTTGACACAAGAAATGGAAAAATAAATTAGAGAACATCTCTGGTTGAACTAAAAATGAGCTTCCTGGTGCATGTCGTAAAAACTGCTAAAAAAGGGGAAGCAGTTAGTAGAAAACTGAAGGTCACTCTCTGATCAACAAAAATGTAATTTGGAACAAGACTAATGTTGCATATGCCTAGTCTGGGACCATCTACTTCTTTCTTAGTGTATATCACTAGTTATAGGTGATCCGTGCGAAAATAAAATATATTTTAAATAAAATAATAAGTTACACACGGATGACGGACATGCAATTGCGTGTGATCAACGTGTGAGCGATCACATGACACTATTTTGAGTAAAAAAAAGGTTGCATAGAAATGACGAGCATGCAATTGTGCGTAGACGATTGACATGTGGCTGGCACGTGCATAACCAGTGGCACTATCTTATAAAAATAAAAATATATTAAGTTGTACATGGATGGGCATGGCCAGAGTATAGGCGACTGCGTGGTCCATGGGTGTGCAAGTCGAGTGGCGTTATTTAAAATAAAAATCCTAGACATCACTAATAAGAAAAGGAAAAAACACAAAAACAAAAAAATATAAAGTAGAAAACGAAAAAGTTAAAAATAAGCCATCATATCGATCTACCCAAGCAACCAACCACCCGCCCCGCACACACCCTAGTTTTGCTCAGGTGGTGTCACTTGCAATTACATGCAGACTACACATATGTGGTTGCGCATGGGAGGACATGCAACTAGTGTCGGAGAATGCAACTGGCCCGGCCCCTCTCCCACCGCCCCCTCTGGCAAAACAAAGGTCCAGTTGCAACTATGTTGGGGGACATGCAGTTGCGGTCAGGTGCGGCGCTTGCAGTTGCGTGCCTAGTATCGGACATCCAACTGGCCCGCCCCCTCTCCCGTCGCCCCCTCCGAGAAAACAAAGGTCCAGTTACAACCATGTTGGGGGACATGCAGTTGCAGTCAGGTGTGGCGCTTGCAGTTGCGGGGCTGTTGTCGGGCTTGCAACTGGCCTGCCCCCTCTAGCGGCGCCCCTCCGATAGAACAAAAAAGCC